AATCAGCTAGGGAATCCCTGCTGAGGTGCAATCTTTGAGGGATGCACAAGTGGCATCTGTGAGATGCAGGGCCTTTTCAGTGGTTGCCCCACTCCATGGAATAATGTCCCCCAGGATGCTTGTCTTCCCCTATCACTGGCTTCATTCACTGGGTTTTAAATACTGAACACTGAGATTGATCAAAGTCCCCCCCCATATATATATATATATATGTGTGTGTGTGTGTGTGTGTGTGTGTGTATGTGTATGTGTGTATATATATATATATATGTATATATGTATATATATATGTATGTATATGTATATATACATATATACATATACATTGTGTGTGTTTGTGCAGACATGAGCCTTGTGTCCCGTCCCTCCCTGTTTTTCGAATAATGGGGGATAGATAGACTTGATCTGAAAATGTAAAGCTGCAAATTTCTCTGAGTTCCTTTTAAATAAAAAACGACTCAGTGCACAAGGATCAGCACTGTGTGACTGACGTTAAGCCGTGGCGATCATTCTGTGGCCTCCTGTGGCAGCCATTTTTTGTCGCTGCGCCCACCATATGCCGTGCGTCAGGATTCCAAATGTGCATGCAGGCCCCAGAAGGTTGGGGACCCGGATCCTTCAACGGAAGACGCCGGGGACTTGGGCTTCCAGGTTCGAGGACATCTTGGAACGAGCTCGGTTTGTTATACTCTGGCACAAGAGTCAAACTGATTTGGGTTCAGATCACAATGAACTGGTTCGTTCCGAATCCCACCCCTCTTTTTCCAGAGCTTGTTCCTAGTGTAAAGCATTGGGGGGGGGGGGGGATAATAGACGCTGCAGCCATCCAGTGGCCACAAGAGGCACAGCAGGCAAAATGGTAAATGGTGCCAAAGAGGCAAAGCCCTCTAAATTGCCTACTCGAGAGGTGTTAAATTGTTTGCTTCATATCAATGCCCGTGTAAATCATAATGCTGGAAGGTTTGCGTTTATGCTTGCGACTGAGCTTGTGTGCTTCCGTGCTGGCCCTTGAGCGGTAGGGGGCGTAATGATTTGGGGAAAGGGGGGAGGGGAAGAAGGCTGTTTACTTAGATATACTTCAGTGGGAATGTTTTAATTTACTCTTATCCCTCATGTGTAAAATTATATCTGCTAGATCCAGCCATTATGAAACTCCTGGAGATTCGGGGGCGGAGCCTGGGGAGGAGAGGGACTTCCGTGGGGGGGGCATGAGGCCACAGAAGAGGCCACCCCCTCGCAAGCCCCCGTTTCCTCCAGGGGGACTGGTCTCTGCTGTCTGGGGATGAGCTGTAATTCCAGGGGATCCCCCCAGGTCCCACCTGGAGGCTGCTGGCGTCCCTGAACACCGTCACGGGAACTAACTCCTGAGCAAGCAATTCACTCCCAATGACTTATCACTCCTCCCCACCACACCTGAAATGCAACACAATTTCCCCCCTTTGTACCCACAGGGTACTGCTTGCAAACAGGTCACCCCTGTAATATCTTCCTGTTAGCAAAAGAGAATCACTAGGCCAGCGTAACTATTCTTCTACTGGTGTGGCCTTATGCTCTCCCAGCACGAAGAGATCTAAGCGTAATCGTATCCTTCTTGGTGGGTATCACTGTGTTAGATACGCTTGATAAAATAAATGTGATACCAGTAAAGGCCAAGGCCAAGGGAGTGGAGTGGCTACTTAACTGACAGGGAAAGATCCCAGTAGGCCATTTCCCTGACGGGTTTCTGGCAGAGAGGAACAAGCAAAGCCAAGTCCCACGTGCCTCTGCCAGCACGGCAGGAGCCTGGCTTGTTCCTAGGTCATTTTAACTTGCCAGCCAAGGTGTGTTGCACTTCTCCATCTATAATAATGACTTTCAGTAAGAAAGAATTTCTGCATATCTGTCTAATCGTAACCAAGGGAAACATGTTGCACTTAAAAGGCATGAGATTATTTACTCCCGATAATACGGTCTAATTTAAAGCTGCATTTGATTGTTGAATGAATTCTGACTATTTTTAAAAAAGAAAATATTAGGTACCAACAGCCGTCAGCCCCAAGTTCCAAGTCGCCTTCTGCATCGACAGCCGCCTTGTCGCCCTCCGAGAAGGCCGAGGGAATTTGCTGTGCCATGACTCCCCCCCCCAGCTTGTCTGACTGGGAAGTGTCAGGTGGCCGTGATGCAGGGGGGAGGGCGGTAGAGCGTGTCTGGCTACGTGTCGTTACCGCCCCACCTAGGTGGGAAGGCGTGAACACTGAGTCCAAAATAATTTCTCATTGGCTGTCATGTTCGGGGAGGCGTGACAGGGCGTCAGCCAAAGAGTTCGCGGAGCCGGGGAAATGATGAAGGGTGAACTGGAACTTGGAAAAGAAATCAGCCCACTGGAGCTGTTTTGCGTTTAAATACTGGGGCATTTTGAGCGTTTCCAAGTTTTTATGATCAGTCCAGACCTCGAACGGGACTCGCGCACCCTCCAGCCAGTGTCTCCAGGTGGTCAAGGTGAGTTTTATGGCCCCCGCCTCCTTTCCCCAAACTGACCAATTGCGTTCTGTGTCATTAAACTTCCTAGACACATACGCTAAGGGGTGTAGTAACCCATCCCCCCCTTCCTGGAGAATTGCCCCTCTCATGGCCACATCAGACGCGTCAGTTTGAACAATTAACTTTTTTGTTTCATCAGGGTGAGCTAAGACTGGCTCTGAGGTGAACAAAGTCTTGAGGCATTCGAAAGCCTCCTGGTACTCCTGACTCCAAGCCAACACTGCCCTGGCTTGGTTGCGTCTGGGCCCTTTCCCTTCGTTTTCAACAAGTCGGTCAGGGACAAATTGACCTGGGCAAAATTGGGCAGAAAATTTCTGTAAAAGTTCGCGAACCCGAGGAAGGACTGTAACTGGCACCGGGTTCAAGGTACTCCCCAACCCAGAACATCTTGTACCTTCCCCGGGTCCATCTCCAAGCCCTTATCCGAGATCCCAGAAAGTCAATGTGGGTCTTGTGAAACTCACACTTTCGCAAACAATTTGTGCTTGTGCAATGTGGTTAGAACGTCTCTCACCAAGTTCACGTGGAAGGGTAGGTCGGGGGAGTACAGCAAGATATCATCTAGATAAACAAGCGCCCCCTTGAACAAGTGCTTGTGCAACACCTCATTGATTAGATTCATGAAGACCCCTGGCACCCCCTGAAGACTGAACGGCATCACACGATACTCAAAGAGGCCCAGGGAGCCTCTTTGAGTATCGTGTGATGCCGTTCAGTCTTCGGGGGGTGCCAGGGGTCTTCATGAATCTAATCAATGAGGTGTTGCACAAGCACTTGTTCAAGGCAGTTTTGTGTTCATCCCCCTCCCTGATACGGACCTGAAAGTAAGCATCGTGGAGATCCAACTTTGAAAATATTTTCCCTTTGGCCGCCTTGGCAAGTAAATCCTTGATCAGGGGCATGGGGTAAGCATTGGTCGAAGAAACCGGATTCAAGCTCCAGTAATCCATGCACAGCCTCAACTCCCCATCTTTCTTCTTCGAAAGAGAACCGGGGCTGCAAAAGGGGAGGAGGCCGGCCTGATGAAACCCCTGGCCAGGTTTTTATCAATAAATTTGTGCAGTTTGTCTTTTTCGGCCGGCCCCATTGCATAAATGGTCCCTTGGGTAGTTTTTGGCCAGACAATATTTCGATACTGCAATCTGGGTGTCTATGGGGGGGAAGCTCATCGGCTTCTTCCTCTTCGAACACCCTGGCCAAGTCCCGGTACTCGGGGGGAATGGATTGTAACTCCTCCTGAGCCAAACACACCCTAGGGTGTTCCACTACTGGCTGCTGGCCCCACTGTGGGTTCCACCGGTGCCCTTGACACCGAGGTGAGATAAACTGCACCTTCCCTTCATCCCACAGAATGTATGGATTGTGTCCATGCAACCAAGGGCCCCCCAACACTAGTGGGAATGTGGCAGCTCGGGTAATCACGAATGATCTTTCCTCCCAGTGATCCCTCGCCCCAACCCACAAAGGCACAGTCTCGTATTCACACGGTTCCTTCATAGTGAACCCATCCATTTGGGTATAAATTAAAGGGTCTTTCAGCTTCACCACCCCTGCGTTGGCCCCCAGTGAAGTGTGAGAGCAGAGAAGCTTAGGAACTCATCATGGGCACACTGACTGCACTGAAAAGAGAGAGGTTGCCAGAGCTGTCAGCCAACAGAAGCCAGGAGGGGGGCTGGGATTGTGGCCAGGCAAGGGCTCTACCTCTCAGGCAGGCTGGACTAGAAGGGTTGGTCTTGTTAGCTGAAGCACTCATGGCCATCCTATGGTCTGCACAAAGTCCCTTCCACCACATTCGGCTGGCAGGCCACTGAACCCACTGCTCCACAGCAATGACCATTCTCCATGCTCTGGTAACCAGGCTTGGCTGCTAAGGCGTGCTTTTGTGGGATCACTCGGTCCTTGCTTCCCTGGACCCGCTCCACCACAGTCAGCCACGAAGTGGACCTGCACCACAGTCAGCCTGCTTCCCTGGACCCGCTCCCCACACTTTAGGCATAGCCCTTGTCGCATGCGTTACTCCCGAGTAGACTCAGCCAATTTTGCTGGTTTCATCTTCTGCGCCGGGGGGTTAGGCTTGCTTCCCGCCGTTGCGATGTCCAGGCGCAGAGTATTTAGGCGGGTCTCAACACTCTCCACCTCCTGCATCCATGCCGGTAAAGAGATTGGGTCCACCGCTCGTAGGACTGTTTCCCGGATCTCTGGGTTCAGCCCTACCCGGTACAACTCAACGAGCACCGGATCTGGCCAAGTTTGGACCTTTGCCGCGTGCAACTTAAACTTGGAGGAATATTCCCTCATCAATCTCCTTCCTTCTGAGGATTTGGTCAGCCCATGCGTGGACTGAAGCAGTCTTTGAAATCGGAGAACCAACAAAGCAAACATACACCTGGAAGCTTGATTCAAATATTTTATTGTTACAATCAATCACCAATGCCGTCGAATCTGAAATCAAAGAATATTTACAACATAACGCCACTTGTGGGGTCTCACAACATTTAGTTTGGGATGCATTGAAAGCCGTGATCCGAGGCAAATTCATCGCTCTGGCATCCACCTACAGAAAAGAAAAAAACAAGCTAAAGCAAGACATATTAGAAAGAATTCAATTACTAGAAACTGATTACAAACTCCACGGAAGAAAACGTGTTTATAAAAAACTGGAATTGGAACGGAAAAAATTAGAAGCTTTAGAAATATCTCAAATCCAAAAACGATTAGCATTCTTAAAGCAGAAATATTGGTTCAAGACGCCACAAACATTAAAACTTTTATCCTGGAAATTCAAAAAGAAACGCTGTGAAAACTCGATCCACGCTATTAAACATAAAAATGGTCAACTTAAATACAGCAACAAAGAGATCTCAGAAGTATTTCTTGCATATTACAAATGCTTATATACATCAGATAACCCAGCAACAATTGATATTAATGACTTTTTGACTAAATGGCCACTACCCAAACACCTATCTACAGAACACAAGCAATGGCTAGACTCTCCTATAACACCTCAGGAAATCCAAAAAGTCATTAAAAAACTAAAATTAAACAAATCTCCAGGTAGAGACGGATTCACCCCAGAATTCTATTAAAAAAATTCTAATATATTAAGCGAACCCCTGACACAAACCTGCAATCAAGTCTTAGAAGAAAAAATAATGCCACCTTCATGGAATCAAGCTAAAATTGTCTTGATCCCAAAACCAGACAAAGATTTGACACTTCCAACTTCTTACAGGCCTATCTCACTGTTGAATCAAGATTATAAAATCTGCACTGCAGTGATGACATCACGTCTCAATCAAATCATTGAACGCTATATCAACATCAACCAAACAGGCTTCATTCCACGCCGCGAAATCACAGACAACACACGCAAAGCCATAAATATTATCCAATACTACCAGAAACATTGCGTCCGATCATCATTCATAATATCTATTGACTTTAAAAAGGCGTTTGACAGGGTTGAAACACAATGTCTTAATTCCCTCCTAACACATATGGAATTTCGGCCTAAATTTTTAAATTTGATCAATACCATTTACCATTCACCGGAAGCTTGTATCTTCACAAACGGAATTTGCTCACAAGATTTTACCCTAACCAGAGGCACAAGACAGGGCTGTCCAATCTCCCCCCTATTATTTGCCCTCGCCATCGAACCACTCGCACATGCCATCCGATCCAATGATCTAATCACAGGTATTCAACTAAACAACGATCACCTGAAGTTAAGCTTATTCGCGGACGACTTAACACTATTTTTAACAAATCCAGAGGAATCCTTGCCTGAACTACATTCCTTATTGGATACGTTCGGCTTGATAGCGGGCCTCCGAATCAACCATTCGAAATCTATTTTATACCCCATTATATTAACAGAACCCAACAAGAAATTCATCATGCGATATTACAACTACAGTTGGGTTAAGAAACACTGGAAATACCTGGGGATAAATATCCCGCTTCAACTAACAGACCTCATTAAAAGCAACTACGCAGAATTAGAAAAATCGCTTGATGAATTACCCAACTCACAAACATCGCCTTTACTAAGCTGGATAGAGAAAATACAAGTTATAAAATCATTTATTTTCCCAAATTTTTAATACGTATTTCGAGCAATATTCATTCCAAGCTCGTTATTAAAAAAAATGGCAGAGCCAAATCACGAAATATATTTGGAACAAATCCATCCACAGAGTCAGCTTTAACACTCTGCGAAAACATTCATCTGGAGGAGGTCTATCCCTTCCAGATTTAACATTATACTATGAGTCCTCGACACTTACAGGCATCTTTAAACAATACAGTGAAAAATACCGGGCACAGTGGAAAGCCATAGAACAAACTTACCTTGCTCATAAAACATTTCAAGAAATACTACGGGAAATTCCCAAATTGAGACCCCAATCCCTTTTGGACAATATATTCCTTTTGAACTCACTCAAGGTTTGGGACAAATGGAAACCTACCCAATTCCCCAAACCGTCCATACTTACCTATTTTGTAGGCCAATCTTGGTTCACCCCAGCGAGTGCGCCCAACTCGTTCAAGATCTGGAGAGACAACAAAATATTATCTTTCAAAGACATTACTGCCAAAAACCAGCTTTTAACTAGATTTGAACTAGAAAACAAATTACGTTGCAAAATCAACTGGTTTGAGTACATTCAAGTCAAACATCTTTGGAAAATCATCTTTCAAAAAGATGATATCAGACCACTCACTACTGTTGAGAGAATACTATCATCAAACATAACCTCTAGTACTGGACTAATATCCATGATCTATAAATCCCTACTAACCCACTCCACCAACTCTTTACATACTTACCAAAAGGCATGGAATTCGGATTGTTCCATCCCCACAGATGACTCCACCTGGCTCAAAATATGGACATCACCCAGCATGACCTCACGATCCCTAAATGTCAGAGCACAGGCTTTAAAACTAATCCTGCACTGGTATCACACACCAGCTAAACTTCATCAGATCAACAAATCATATCCGCCATTTTGCTAGCTTTAAAACTAATCCTGCGCTGGTATCACACACCAGCTAAACTTCATCAGATCAACAAATCATATCCGCCATTTTGCTAGCACTCGTGTAACGAAATCGTTTCATATTATCATTGTTGGTGGACGTGTAGGAAAATTAGGAACTTTTGGATTTTAATTTTAACAACGATAGAAAAACTAACCCATATCACCGTACCATTGTCACCTACCCTCATACTATTAGACCTTTGGGACGAAATGGAAATCCCAAATTCATCCAAAGAGCTTATATCACTAATGCTGACAGCAGCCAAAATGGTAGTAGCTAGAAATTGGAAGAATTCCAACACACTAACGACACACCAATGGTACATGCAAATATGGGAACTTTATGCCATGGAAAAATAGCTAACTCGATATCCCCGTATAATACTTATAAGGCCCAATCTTTATTTTATACTAAATGGTTACCGTTTTTAGAAGCCACATACAGTACTACAATTCCAAAAAGATACATAGAAATTATTTCGGTGTTATGATATGATTGTTGTTATATGTTGACCTCATTGTTCTGCACCTCTAAATGTAACACTGATGCTCTGTTAATGTTGTGTGATCAGTTTTGGTAGTTATAGTTGATTTTATCACAACACATTGTATACAGCACATGATATACCTCTGTTTTGATGTTATGTATTTGTTATGGACTTTAAAAAAAAAATAAAATGTAAAAAATTTTTTAAAAAAATCAGTCTCCTCCCTTGCTTCAGGGTGCATAGGAACGCTCTTGCTTTGGGCCCGGCGTTCCAGTCCTTGAATTGGGCATGCATCGCCTACATAAAAGCATCCAAATTCACCAGCTCCGGGCCCCTGGCATTGTGCAATCCCACATACCAAACCGCGGTGGCTCCCCGTAAACGGGTGGCCACCACATCCACTCGGCTACTGTCATCCGGGAACAGGTGGCCCAACTGTTCCACAAACTTCATCACTCGTACTACAAAGTAGGATAGTTCCTCAGGGTTTCCATCGAACGTGGCCTCGATCAGGTCTTTCAGGCGATGTAGCACCGGGCCTCTCGGGCTGCCTGGTCTTGGTGCTGGAGCCGGGGCCTCCCCTGGTCCGTGATGCAGCAGAGCTGTGAATTCAGTGTGTACGAATATGAGTATCAGGGCAGCCACTGAGACAAAATCCTGGAGGCTGAAAGAATGCTGTTAATCATGCTTCAGTTCTCCCCCTCTCCTGCCCACACTGTTCTTCTGCTATCCAGCTGGAACTTATAAAGGGCACAAGAGCCAAGGCAAATGTTGATCCCACCCTCTACCATTCCATTTAATGCACCTTCAAAGCCAGGAGTCTGATCTAAATCAGCAGTGCCTACAATGCTGGCAAGTCTTATGGAAGGCTTCAGCGCTGGCTTTTATAACCATCCAGTACAAGCTTTGATATACAGCTGAAAAATTCTACAGTATGACATTTCATTGTACTGGAGTACGTGCTTTCTATGAGGGAATCTTTAGACCATCATCGTATTCCTCATCCCCTCTCAAAACATTATATTTCACTTTAGCTGAATATGAGTGAACATTCCACAGGCAGAACAATTTCTCTTTTAAAAAACAAAAAAACCCCAAAACCCCAGGCTGAAGCAAAAGGACAATTATCCCTCTGGAGCATCTGGTTTCTGTATTGCAATTTGTAGAAGCATCATGTACAAGCACTGGCTCAGTCAACACACGCAGTAGTTGATTGAATAAAGGCAGGAAATGCTTTGGCAGAACACTTGCATACAAGTGGCAATCATTTTTGAGAGCATGACGTTCCACTGGTGGTATCTGTTGCAGAAGGGAAGCAATAACTTGATTCAAATGTAATAGCAAACTGGTTTGCCACTGCATGCACAAACCTGAAGTATCCTCCCTCTGTGCGTGATGATCTAATTAGACCTTTCTGCTTTTACTAGTTGAGCCATAATAGCAGCCTAGTTATTATTAGGCCATGGGAATACATCTTGCCTGTCTTAAGCCAGTTAGATTAGTTACCAATTTGCTTCCAAAATGAGTTAAAGGTACTAGATATTACAGTTAGAACTGTGGTACAGCATGCTGGGCCCATAACCAGGAGCTGGCTGTGCGCTAGTGAAAGAGGGCAACTGCTTTTACAATAAAGTCTACAGATCACCGCAGACTGTGACAGCAGCCATGAAATTAAAAGATGCCTGCTCCTTGAGAGGAAAGCGATGGCGAACCTAAATAGTATGATAAAAAGTAGAGACATCACCCTGCCAACAAAAGTCCACATGGTCAAAGCAATGGTATTCCCAGAAGTCATGTATGGCTGCGAGAGTTGGACTATAAGGAAGGCCGAGCGCCGAAGAATAGATTCTTTTGAACTATGGTGCTGGAGAAGACTCTTGAGAGTCCCTTGGACTGCAAGAAGATCAAATCAGTCAATCCTAAAATAAATCAACCCTGACTGTTCCCTGGAAGGCCAGATAATGAAACTGAAGCTCAAATACTTTGGCCACCAAATGAGAAGGGAGCACTCACTGGAGAAGACCCTGATGCTGGGAAATATTGAAGGTCAAAGACGATGTGGACGGCAAAGGATGAGATGGTTAGACAGTGTCATAGATGCAACGGATATGAAATTGAGCCAACTTCAGAGGACAGCGGAAGACAGGAGGGCCTGGTGTGATCTGGTCCATGGGGTCGCGAAGAGTCGGACTCGACTGTGCGACTGAACAACAAAAACTCAAGGCTTGTTGCTTTAGAAAAGAAATGGATGTTCTTTATTGTTAAAAAAAATCCTTCTGGGACAGGAAAGGCATTACAGGCATTCTAGCAATAAGCTAGGATGGAGAGAGAGTCAGTGAATGTATGTTGCTCTCATGGAGATCAGAGAGAGAGTACAAAAACTGGATGAGAACCAAGCAGCTAGAAGGAAGTTCCTTGAGAATGGCAGTCTAGGTAAACAAAGAGACAGCAGCAGAACGGCCAAGAGGAAAGACAGAGAGGAAGTGGACACACCGACCTTCTTAGCTCTACTGCCTTCTCTGGAATACTGGTGTGTTTGGTGCAAAGAGGCTTTGCAGAGTCCTTCACTTCCAAGAATTACCTTTAAAGGCTACCCATGACAAAAAAATTTGAAGGATCATCCTTCTCCCTATACTCCTGTGTGTTAATTGTGTTCATTGGGCCAGCTTCTCTTGGCCTCTCCACCATCCTGGGCTGCTTGTGTGACATTCACGGAGCCCATTCCGTTTCAGTGACAAGGAACAAAGCAGGGACACTTTGTGGAACAGCCTCCCACTACTTTGTGATATTTTGGTTGGTCCTGATAAAAAGGTGTTAGACCACCACTGTTCTTGTGGATTTCTGACACAGCTGATAGACATTTTGGCTTGACAGCAGGTTTCTAGAACTTTTTGCTGGCTCCAAGGGAATCTTTGATGTATGGTAGCCCTTCCCAGTTTGCAAGGAAGACTGGTTGTGGTCCTGAGTTTGGGTGTGTGAGTTGTTAGAGGAAAACATTGCCATTGCCCTTACAGAGCACTCGCACACCAAGGTTGCAGTCAGATGAGCAGTTTGGCCCAATATAGTTGCTGATCCCCAACGGATTAACCCGTCTGGTTCATACAGCCACATCTGCCAGCCGTCCCCCAGTCATCCACACCCCGTCAGAAGGCAAGCTGGAGATGGGGTAAATAGTCACTGGTTGAACTCCGGGGCTCATGGCTCCCTGCACATCCCTCCTGTGTTCCTGGATGTCTGAATGCAGGGGAGCACAAACAAAACAGATTGGCAGTGTGAACCCACCAATCTATTCCAGGTGTTTTTTTGCTCTGCACTCCATGGTGCACATATGTGCATGTACCAAGACCTTTTTGAAGAAAAAACCCAACCACCAAGCTGCATTTCATGGATGGTGCGCGGCAACAGTGTGTACGATCCACTGCGCCCCCTGCGTGATATAATGGCACGTCAGGGTGTGGTGTTTGACTGGGAATTTCTGTTCCTGCATGAAACGGAGGTATCAGCACTGCCTTCAAAGCGCCCCAAGGTGTCAGTCTGTCCGCAGCCCAACAGCTGTATTCTCCAGAGTCAATTACAATTTCAAAGGGAGGCAATATTAAACAAAGCCCCGGGCTAGCTCAGTCTCATCAGCTCTCAGAAGCTGAGCAGGGTGAGCCCTGGCTAGTATTTGGATGGGAGACCTCCAAGGAATACCAGGGTTGTGCCACGGAGGCAGGCAACAGCAAACCACCACTGAGAACACCTCGTGCCTTGAAAGCCCCACGGAGTCACCATAAGTCAGCTGTGACTTGATGACCAAATGTGCTTATAATTGGCTGGATAAGCCTTTCCTCCCCTTTTCCTGACTCTTGCTTCCCATACAATTCAGAGGAGCAAAACAGCAAGCAGAGCTTCCACGAAGGCACAATATTTGAGGGTATACAAACTATTCACAACAGTGCACAGAGACTGAGAGTCTCTAGCTATGCATTACATACCCATTGCGTGTAAAAGAGACCAAATACCACCTCTGTTGGAAGACAAGCAGCTTTGGGATGGGGGAAATTTAGAGCTTAACCCTTTCCCTGTCCCTTATTCCTCTGCTCCCAGCCGCCTTCTGTGGAGTTCCAAACATGCTGGGATTTATATGTGTGGTTTGGAGCAGGGAAGCACCAGGTGGGGTCCGCCGCTGCCTATAATTTCCAAAAAAAACCCCACAACGTGGCTTTGTTTTCTTGTTTTTAAATGGTGTCAGGGATCTGTTAACATGCATTTGAATGTAACGCGCAGTTCACATCTGATTTGCTCTCTGGTGCCTGGACTTTTATCACACACACGATGTCTGTCACAGCCCTTGTGGAGATGACATTTTAAGATGTTGCTGTTCCCAGGTTTTAT